GTCAGTGGGCCCCCACTTATGAAAAATTCTGGATCCGCCACTGGAATCTGACATAATGACATCCTCAAGTTTATTGTTTACTTTAATAGTTTAAACTAGTTAAATGTGGAAAAACGAATATAATATCAAAAGGCAATACTTGTATTTAAATCATTAAAGGATATGGTTCCTAACTATTTACAAGAAAACTTTCATTTTACTAATAATCAAAATTATAATTTACGTTCAGCTGATGAAAAAGTATTAAATCTTCCGAAGCCAAAATATTTTTTTTAAAGAAAACATTTATATATTCTGGTTCTCAAATATGGAACAGTTTACCAAATAAAATAAAGATGAGTAATACACTTGTATCTTTTAAAAACAAAATGTTACAAATTTTTCATGAACTATGCAAATCAATATGCTTTTTCATTAATATCTATATACAATTGTATATTGTGTATATATCACTATAATGTTGTATGTACTTTATATGTTATAATTATTTTGAGGACTCACAGGTAGATTAGTTGTAACTAATAGGATTATCCTCTTGAATTAAAGATTATTTATTTATTAATTTATTTTATTTATTCATTTTTATATTAAATGGAATGCTGCCAAACAAGACGAGTTTGTCGAAGCTAATTTTAGCAGCCAATTGTCATTCGGTGAACTTGATATTATTTTTAATGAAGAATGTGAAGGGAATCAAGTGAAACATGTTATTGATAACGCGTTAAACAAAATTGGCGAGATCTTTAGAAACACGGCAAAATCAATTTTTGGTTGTAAAAACTCGACATCGGGAAAAAAATAAGACCTGACAGTAAACCGTGTTTACAAAAAGTCAAAAAGTTGTCAGGAAAAACGAAAACAGTTTGATATTAATCGTTAAAAATATAATCTGCGAAAGTCGTCTGTAAATAAACAGATTCTCACGAGATCGGGTCGAGAATATAAGAAAGAAATGAAACTAAATGTTATAATGAACATTTGAAGAAATTTGAGATACAACTTCGAAGTGCTTCTAAAACCGATGCAAAAAAGTTTTGGGTATATATATGAATATTTTAAACAATTACATACAGTCATAAAGAAGCCAGTGTGGATGATTATTCAAGTGTTTATTCTCAAAATAATATAATTGATATTCTTAATTCTCAAATAACAGATGATGAAATCATAAAAGCGATTAAAAATTTGAAAAATTCAAAAGCACCTGCATGTCATAGGTAATATTGTAAATGAATACACGAAAACAACTTTATACAAATTTTAACCATACTATCATAAATTGTTTAATCTAGTATTTGATAGTGTGATAGTCCTGAGTCATGGACATTAGGAATTATTGAAGCTATTTACAAAAATAAAGGTGACCCAAAGGATCCCGACAATTATCGGGCGATTTCTTTAGTGTCATGTCTAGGTTAAGTGTTCACTTCAATCTTAAACACAAGATCAAACATTTCTTTCAGATGAAACGGATCTTATATCCGGGACACAAGCAGGCTTTTGCTCTGGATATTCTACGCAGGATAATATTTTCATTTTGTATTGTTTCTCTATTTTATCAAAGAAAAAAAATATTCTGCACATTTATAGAATTCAAAAAAGCATTTGATACAATTTGGAGGGCTGGGCTGGGCTATGGCAGAAATTGATTAAAAGTAACATTCAAGGGAAAATGTTTAAAGTTATTTTTTTCATTATATAGCAATATCAAATCTTGTATTAAAAATGATGATAGATACTTTGATTTTTTTATATGTGATATACAGGTGTAAGGCAGGGACGGAGAATTCGTCTCCATTTCTTTTCGCTATTTATTTATTTAAACGATTTAGAAGAATATTTGTCGGAAAACTGTGAAATCGGACTGGAAACTCTGGGTTCTTTAAGTTTTGAGAATCTAGATATATATATATGAAACTATTTTTGTTACTTTATGCAGACGATACTGTTAAATTTGCAGAATCATCACAAGAATTAAAACAAGAATGCACTGAAAGTGTTTGAAAATTACTATAATGCATGGAAACTCAAAGTTAATGTGTCGAAAACAAAAGTAGTGATGTTCTCGAAGAGAAAGTGTACTGAAGACTATAATTGTGAAATATTTGGTGAAAAAATATATCAACAGGATGATTATAACTATTTAGGTATTTTGCTTAATAATTATGATGGTAATTTTTATATATAAAGCAAGAAAAAAACGTGTGGAACAAGCACAGAAATTACTGTATTCATTATATAAGAAAATTCGTAATATTAGTACACCTATAGATTTACGACTAAAACTATTTGATGTATTAGTGTCTCCTATATTGCCATATTCATCTGAGATTTTGGGGTTTGAAAATAAAAACATTATAGAAAAAGATCCATTTACAGTTTTGTAAGAAAGTGTTTTGAACTAGAAAAAGCACGTCTACTTTTATGGTGTATGGCGAACTTGGGCGATACCCTGTAGAAATACAGATAAAATTAAAAATTGCTGTCTTTTTGGAACAAATTAGTTGGAAATGCAGACAATCTAATTAAAATATAGATGCAGAGAAATTGTCTGGTAAAATGTATAAAATACTGTTCAAATTATATGAAAATGGTAACAGAAACATGCTCTGGGTTAATTAAATTAAATCCGTATTTGATGAAATGGGTTTTAGTGAAATATGGAATAATCAAGAATATGTAAATCCTGAATTTTTGAAAATCGTTGTAAAACAGTGATTGCACAATCAATTTATACAAAAGTGGTTTTCAGATGTTACAAATTCTTCACGAGGGGAATATTATTCTAAATTTAAGATGGAGTTTAAATTAGAAGATTATCGTCTACGTTTAAGTCCTGTAAATACAAGCTATATCTGTAAACCGAGAACCAGCAATCTTAGATTTCCGATTGGGACGGGACGTTGCAATGGTATACCCGTGAAGGGATGAAAGATTGTGCAATCTCTGTAAACAAGCTGTTGGAAATGAATTTCATTATATTTTCTGCTGTGATGAATTGAAAGATATTCGAACTAAATATATAATGGGTTACTTTGTTAATGTACCCAGTGAGGTAAAAATGAATAAAATGTTGAATATAGGAAATACACAAGTTCTTACTCACCTCTCATGGTTTCTCCAGAAAATTGTAAAACTCTTATAGAGTCAAACTGCTAAATTCACGTTACTTCATAATCTAGAAGACGGATAGTAATTTATTTTATATATTCCTATGACACAACACTCTAGTAAACACGTGGTGGTTATATATACAAGACCCGAATCGAGTGCACACAAAACACAAATCGTTGAAGTATGAACTTGTGTATTACCTTTTGAAAATATACGTTATAATATTTTCACCGTATTACGATTATTTATAGTATCTATTACGTTTTAATATTTGAAATTGTATAGTTCTATATTAGATTCTGGTTCTATATATTAGATAATTTCTACTCATTCTGTCATATGTAATTATAATGCATTATGCATTATGCATAATTGATGCTCCTGTAGCGCAGTTACTGCGTCTAAAGTCTAAAGTCACAGTTTCATATAATTACTCGCCAAAATGTAATACTAAAAATATATTAAGGAATGAGTGTATATACATGATAGTTATGGTATATGAATTTAAGGCACAATTACTATACAAGTAAGTCGCCTTTCAAAACCAACAACAACAACGATGAAATCATTGCAGAATTGTGAAAATAATTCTAAAACGGTGCACTTGAATTAAATCATTGCAGAATTGTGCAAATAAGTGTAAATGGTGCACTTGAATGAAATCATTGCATAATCATGCAAAAAAATGCAAAATTGTGCACTTGAATTAAAATGATTAAACTTTTATTAATCGGCATGAAATAGGAAATATGCAGCATTTTAATTGTTAGTTGTGTTCAGTACGTATAAAACTTGCAGAATTATGCATGCCCGATCAGTCTGATATATTTAAAATAAAATTGAGAATGGAAACGGGGAATGTGTCAACGAAACAACAACATATCTCTCTTTGGACATGCCCAGTCCTTCAATTATTTGTACTCATTTATACCTGGTTGTCGTACAAAACTATAAATAAAGGAAGTAAAATCTCTGAAACTTGAAATAAAGATTGGAGTTTTTAATCATTTTAAATATCTCTATAAAGATAATATCGAAAACTTTGTCGGAACAAAATAAATTGTTTTTCTCTACAAAGATCAGAGAATGTTAGTTATTCAAACTTTAAACTTCGTAAACTTAATTACGTTTAGAATATGTAATCATAATCTGGAACTTGAAATAGGTTACTGAGATATAAAAAAAAAATATCCGGTAATCTTAGAATAAGTCAGTTTTGTTCTAGTAATGATTAGATGATAAATTTCATTACTTCTTCGATCCATTGTGAAACTCGATGATATGAGAAATTATAATTCTAAGAAACAATTACTTCTCTCAGGGACTTTCTATACTAACTTAGTATAGAAAGTCCCTGCTTCTCTGAACTTTTCTCTCAAAATACTGACATTATACGATTTGATCCAGGTTTCAATTACAAGCAATACTCAATCCTACAAATTTCAACGGGTATGATGATGGAAGTTTTAACGACCTTGACTGGCTATACAGCCCTCGCACGGTCGGCCTTCAACAGGTTAAAAGTCTTGCTTCCTTTTTATAACGGTCAACGGAACTCTTAATTAAATGAATGATCATTTTTAAAGAATGTGTCGTATATTCGTTGTATGTGTAATATAATAGTTTGTATTTGTTTGTCACATGTGACAAGCTGTACTTTATATGTTGAACGACTCAACTTTCATTTATGTGGGGTTTTTTTCATGTTGTATGGCATTTTGTTTATGTTTCCCTGATTGACCCTCGGATTGACCACAGTGATATCCGTCTGTCTTCGACGTGGTGTTTTAATATTGTCCCATGATACTTAGTGCTTGGTTTCGTTTCGTAAAATATTGACTGATTCGATTGTTTAGGATCCGTAATATATATTCACCAATCGTAGACCTCCACTGCACTTTGTTATTGTTTTCATGTGTTCTGCAAAAACAAACAGATGATGTGAAGAAATAAGACGTTACAGAGTCACTTTGGTATGAACCATCGGTAATAATAGATTTAGAAAATGATGTGTTTGATGGAGAAAACGTAGTTAGTCCAATATGTACTCTGACTCAATCACACGATGGGTGACTGATGAAGTATTATTTGTGTACATGATGTATGCAGATGATGACTTTGATAGTAACTGTAGATGCATAATTTTTTAAAGAAGTCAGTCAATCCGTCTAAATTACTTGCAAACGACTGCTACCTAGACCTGTTAAAATTAACATTCTTGTTTACCTCTGACTCAAATGTGCAGGTTTGCATCCAGGATGTCAACAGTCAAGTTAAGATTTTTGAAGAATTTGTCCCAAATATCCCCTTTATTCAGAAATCTCAGACCTACCAACTATCCCTATTTATGGGGGATATCCCCCATGAGAGGTGGTGACCTGAACTTTGAAATTCTTTATTATAGGCAGTGTCTGCGCGTACCCGCATGCGGGTACGAATAGTCCAATTGCCATTCATAGGCTACGCGTACCCACATCCGGTTTTATAATAAAATGTCATCGGATCGGGAATGAAACGTGAAATATATAGGGAAATTATCAATAATATGGGGATTTCGTGTAGAACGAGTGAAGAGTATGAAAAATAATATTTTCAAATTGTATTTATTAGATAATGATACATAATAAACATTGTAAATTAAATGCACACTGATGGAAAATGAAACTGTACAGTCCCTGTAAAAGAAAAACATGATAAAAATTAATACTATTATAAAATGTAAATGCAAATTTAAAGAATAAAATTTTACTGATTTTGAAAAATACCCATATGAGATTTAAAAATAATCTTTTAGTAAAATGTAAAACAGAAACTGAAATTTTAAAATATCTTAAACGACTAAAATTAAAGCTTGGTGTATATATAAAAATTAAAGAAGCAAGTAATAATGTCAAAATTAAACCTATTATAAAAGATTCATGTAACTAATTAAGATTTGGAACAAATTTTACATATCCAATATGAAAGTGGAAAGGACATTCCATTTGGAAAGTACTGAAAGTAGACATATCCTTAATATCATGAACGGTTTAAAATAGAAAAACTAGAAGTATTCGACATAAAAAAAAATAAACTTGACTAATGAATGAAACGCGGCAAATTCGATTTAAAACTACAATTTAAAACAAATACCTTGTATTAGGTCTTTTCGTTCCTGTCGAACTTGTTTGGAATTTTTTGCCACCGTGAATACAGGAAAAATTTATTCTGTTAAACTTTAATTCCTCTTTAATTTTTGTGTTTCCAGTTCTTCTTTTCTCTGCAGCTGCAATTGACTCCGAGTTTCTTTTATACAATTGTATAAAATTAATCGACTGATAGTTCTGAACAAATTGTTCCAATTCATGATAACTTTGAAATATCTTCCCCACATGTACAATGTATATTACTCTCTTCCATTTTAAGAATATTTATTAACTGAGAAAAACTGTTCACTTACCTATATATATAAATATTTATAAAAATTCTGAGTAGTTTTAATCAATTTATTCACTAATTGCGACAAATTCTGTATATATTTCACGTTTCATTCCCGATCCGATGGCATTTTATTATAAAACCGGATGTGGGTACGCGTAGCCTATGAATGGCAATTTGACTATTCGTACCCGCATGCGGGTACGCGCAGACACTGCCTTTATTATATGAACTGAACACCTCAAAACATTCATTTAAAGGAGTTAAAAAGGTATTTAAGCATATATATACTCATTTAAACAATACAGTAGTAGATAACAAACACTAATGACAATAAAAGAGGAATGGTTTGTCCTCTTTTGCTTAAAATCCCCCATGGATATTTTGAAAAGTTGGAAGGTATGAAATCTTGCAGAGGTGTAGCTGCTGTTAGGCACTTAAGGCATGTGCCTACACATAAATTTTTCACGAATATTTTTTTTTTTATTAAAAAAATAATGACATTATCTATAGAGGTTGTCAAAACTCCTTAATTATCAAATGTCATTTGTACACTAGTCTATCAACCTTAGTGAATGGAGTATTGTGGGGTGTCCGTTTGGCTGTGCGGGATGTATAGATACGCAGTCACGTCTGGTCAGAATGTGGATGTTAATTCAAATGCCTATTGTAGAGAGAATGCCACGCTCTCTGCACGTAACAAACACTTGCAACAACTCTTTGATGGGTCCGTAGGTGGTCTGCTGAAAGGCAAAATTTCTGACCATATCCAATCAACCCTCATTTTCCAATAGCTTTTCCAAATTTCCAGACCTTCATCCTGGACGACCCCGGGCCTTGAAGTATTACAGAACCTACCTGTTGTATTTATTGTAAAAATTTTTTTGTCCTAAACATGCATGAACTATTTGCCACTGGACATTTAGCAATCAATCAATCAACTAGCTTTCAGGAACTTCAAGTACTCTCAGATCTACGTGTAATGACCATAATTATTCAAATTCCTTAAAGCAGGTAGGGATTTTACAGTATACAGGATATCAGAAAATATGAATTTCTTTAGGTACGTGCACCTTTTATGTTTATTGTTAATTTGATGAATGATTATTAGTATTGCCAAGTTTTCATGAAGCAAAAGCATGAGATTTGGCCAAAATTGTAAAGATCAAAGAGAAAAAAAAATATATCAAAGGAAAATGCCGCCATATAAGCAGGAAATGCGTGAGTCTCAGGCTAATTGCGTGAGACTTTGCAGCCCTTGATTTATATTATAATTATAGAACCACCAATCGTTAATTGACAATGTTGGAAAAATTCACAATAAAATAAGGAATGAATACTATACATGTTGTATGTTTTAGAACCTGATATTTTTTTAACCAGTGATTTGATGGCTTTTTTAGCCATAAAGAATCATTTTCATACTTACGAAAGTAAAGTGACAAATTTCTTCACTTTAATTTGTAAAACAGTTTATGCTCTAGCTTTTTATACGACCGCAAAAAAATTTTTGTGGTCGTATATTGGTATGACGTTGGCGTCGTCGTCGTCCGGCGTCGTCCGAAGACACATTGGTTTTCGCACTCTAACTTTAGTTTAAGTAAATGGATCTCTATGAAATTTTACCACAAGGTTCAATACCACAAAAGGAAGTTTGGGATTGATTTTGGGGGTTATGGTACCAACAGTAAAGGAATTAGGGGCCAAAAATAAGCATTTTTGTAACTTCCAGACATAACTTGTGTGTTAGTGTATGGATCTCTCTGACATTGTACCACAAGGTTCCATATCACGAAAGGAATGCTGGGATTGATTTTGGGGGTAATTGCCTCAAAATTTTAGGAATTAGGGGCAGAAAAAGGGGAAAAAACAAGCATTTTTCTAGTTTCATGACAATAACTTGTGTGTAAGTGTATGGATCTTTCTGAAATTGTACTACAAGGTTCCATATCACAAAGGGAAAGCTGGAATTGAGTTTGGGGGTAATTGCCGAAACGTTTAGGAATTGGGGGCCAAAAAGGGGCCAAAAAACACATTTTTCTAGTTTCCAGACAATAACTTGTGTTCAAGTGTATGGATCTCTCTGAAATTGTACTGCAAGGTACCATACAACAAAGGGAAGGCTGGGATTGAGTTTGGGGGTGATGAATCATAAGGGGGTTCAAAAAATTTGGGGGGGGGATTTTTTTTTTTTTCCTTTTTTTTCTTTTTTACCTTTTTTCTTTTAAAATTTTCCATTTTAAGTTGGTTATTTCTGATTTATATTTAAAAGCAAATAATAATGATATGGTAGGAGATACACACCAAACAGGATGTGTAAATTATTATATAATAAGTATTGTGCAATAGCAAGAAATTTTCAATTCCACAGTATTGCACAATAGCAAGAAATCTTCAATTGCACAGTATTGCGCAATAGCAAGAAATTTTCAATTGCACAGTATTGCACAATAGCAAGAAATATTTAATTGCACAGTATTGTGCAAAAAAAGATACTTCGTATAAATTGCTTATTTCTTGTTCAATTTCAAGGGGTTTTATTCTTGAATTCTTGGGGTTCTTTAATATGCTGAATCTAACCGTGTATTTAGTTTTTGGATTTTAGGCCCCGTTTTTAAATTGGTCCACATTGAGGTCCAAAGGGTCCAAAATTAAACTTTGTTTGATTTCATCAAAAATTGAATTATTGGGGTTCTTTGATATCCCGAATCTAACCGTGTATTTAGATTCTTAATTTTTGGTTCCGTTTTCAAATTGGTCTACATTAAGGTCCAAAGGGTCCAAAATTAAACTTAGTTTGATTTTAACAAAAATTGAATTCTTAGGGTTCTTTGATATGCTGAATCTAACCATGTATTTAGATTTTTGATTATGGGCCCAGTTTTCAAGTTGGTCCAAATCGGGGTCCAAAATTAAACTTTGTTTGATTTCAACAAAAATTGAATACATGGGGTTCTTTGATATGCTGAATCTAACCATGTATTTAGATTTTGGATATTGTACCATAATAGGTGAATGTCCAATTTAAAATTTTTCTGTGTCAGAAACCTATGCTGTGTCAAATATTTAATCACAATCCAAATGCAAAGCTGTATCAAGCTTGAATGTTGTGTCCATACTTGCCCCAACTGTTCAGGGTTCGACCTCTGCGGTCGTATCAAGCTGCGCCCTGCGGAGCATTTTATTATTCCTGAAATGATAATAAAAATATCTGCTTTGTAACATTTACCCAAAATTATGTGGATTATTGTATCATATTTAAACATACATGTGTAAATTGAAATGATAACACATTGTCTGTTGTGTTAAATAAAAATCTCATAATAATCCGTTGCGTTTGTGTTCTTAAAAATAAAGTTCTAAAATAGACAATCTGAAAATGTTTTTTACACAAACAATTTAATGGAATGAAAACCTAGCTCTTTCCAATAAGTTTGTTTTAATTCCATAATAATTTATTATGCATATGCATGTACCCCATGCAACAAAGAAAAAACACTTTTACTTGACTTCCATTAAATTTTTTAATAGACCAGGGAAAAATTATTGTTATTTTCCCCTAACCCCAC